TTGCCTGCTGATAGGCCCTCCACAGTCCCAAATGTACATAATCAAATGATTAATAACTTGGTTTTGCATAATATGTCCCCTTTAACTTTCCCCACCAACTCTCTTCCGGTAGAGGTTAACAAAGCACCAAACTGTGCCACAAAGGGTGAGCTCTGCTTTATTGTTCAGAGGGTAACACATCTATTTCATGTTCCTGCATGTTATTTTATCATCTGTCTCGTTTTTTTGTTTTTTTTCCCATTCCAGCAGCAACTGGAAAACAGAAGTCTGCGAAAAAAAACTGAAGCTGCAGTTTCTAAAATTAGTCGTGTGTGTGAACTCAATTCAAAAGGAGACCGTGCAGTCCAAAAACGGTAAAGTCTGTAAAGCACTTAAGATGTGGGTACAAAAAGGAGGAAAATGAGTTTGGTTGGCCCTAAAAAACCAGAAGGTTGCAGTTGTTCCGCTCTTCTTTCGGCCTGGAAAAGGCGGCCATGTTGGTTTGGTTCTTTAGCACCAACACAACCAGCGTCTTAGCTTAAGAATAAATAAAAAAAATAATTATTAAAAAGAAAAAGTTAAAAAGCGTGCCGGGTCGTAGGCGGTGCAGGAGGATACAGGAGACAGAACATTTACAAAAACTTTGCAGAAAAATAAAACTAGGTGTGGTTTTAAAATCCGTCCCGGACTCAGATCGAGACTCAGATCCAGATCCAGGTCCAGACTCAGACCCAGATCCAGATCCAGACTCAGATCCAGACTAAGACTCAGATCCAGACCCAGATCTAGACTAAGACTCAGATCCAGACTAAGACTCAGATCCAGACCCAGATCCAGACCCAGATCCAGACTCAGACTAAGACTCAGACTCAGATCCAGACTCAGACTCAGATCCAGACTAAGACCCAGATCCAGACCCAGACTCAGATCCAGATCCAGATCCAGACCCAGACCCAGACCCAGATCCAGACTAAGACTCAAATCCAGACTCAGATCCAGACTAAGACTTAGATCCAGACTCAGACCCAGATCCAGATCCAGACCCAGATCCAGACTAAGACTCAGACTAAGACTCAGACTCAGATCCAGACTCAGA